AGAAAAAGAGAAACATGGTGATAGAAATCTAAAAGAATATTAAGATACACAAAGGATACCGTGAAGATAGATTCCTAAACGCACTGATTGTTTGATAGAAATGGACATCAACTCCTTCAGAAAGTATTAATAAATGATAGTATTAAATTTTGCCTTTTTCTTTTGTTTTGTTACTTAGAGAGAAACATCTGAGCAAACTGAGTTAAATAGATAGATAGATAGAAATGAGATAGGCATAGGAATAGATATGAACAGCTATATCGATCTGTATATATATATATATATATATATATATATATATATATATATATATATATATAGAGAGAGAGAGAGAGAGAGATAGATAGATAGATAGATAATGAACAGACTGAGATAGATAGATAGATAGATAGATAGATAGATAGATAATGAACAGACTGAGATAGGTAGATAGATAATGAACAGACTGAAATAGATAGATATATAGATAGATAGATAGATAGATAGATAGATAGATTCAAAGCGTTCTTGTAGATAGATAGATAGATTAGATAGATAGATAGATAGATAGATAGATAGATAGATAGACGATTTTTTAAGCGTAGACCAAATGTATGGGGCACACAGTGGTGATTACAGTTGTAATTGTTCTAGCGAGCAAGCTTGCTAATCATTACATCACATCGAGGTGCCCTTGGATCGATAGATATGTTCAGACTACGATAGATAGGGACATAGAAAGAGTGAGATATACAGATAGAGAGAAACAATGAAAAAATAGATAGATAGATAGATAGATAGATAGATAGAAACAATTGTATAAAGAGAACAGATTAATATATGTTATATATGAATAAATATAAGCAGGCAGATAGATGGGTAGATAGATATGGACAAACTGAAATACGTCGATCTGGATAGATAGATAGATAGATAGATAGATAGATAGATAGATAGATAGATAGATAGATAGATAGATAGGGCAGACTGATATGTAGATAGATAGATAGATAGATAGATAGATAGATAGATAGATAGATAGATAGATAGATACAAACATCTGATTGATATATAGGGCAGACTGATATGTAGATAGATAGATAGAAACGACATAAGAATAGATATGAACAGATATATCGATCTATATATATATATATATATATATATATATATAGATAGATAGATAGATAGATAGATAGATAGATAGACTGAATGGTCTGAATAGAGTAAGATATATAATTTTGATACAATTGAGAAATATAAATAGATAGACTGGTTGCCAGCACTGCAATTTAAAACTTCGTAACTATTTCAATTCTAACTGTCTAAATTAACATTCGAGAGATTAGTATATATATATATATATATAAATATATATATATATATATATATATATATATATATATATATATATATATATATAGTTATAGTTATAGTTATTTTTGACTATTCTGAAAATAAATGACATTTTTTTAAAGCATTTCTTCGTTTAGAAGCTTTTACTTTGGATATTTTCTCTCCAAGTTTCCAACATTTTATCAAAACACATTTCCGACATTCTATCTCTCCTTCGACATTGCGCATCACCGAATGGTTGGCTGTCGAACGAAGAGATCGATATATTTCGACAATACTTGCTACTAACTTTATTAATCTCGTCACACACACGCACACGCACACACACTCATACATACGCACGCGCATACCCACGAGAAGAATATATGTGCATACACAGTCAGCAGAAAAGTATAGCGAAAGCATTTTTTGAACATAGAAACATACATTTTGTGCGTGGATATATAATACTCATATACAAATGAGTGCGAGAAACAGTGTGTCTGTGTCCGTATGCGATCATTGAAAGTAAGTTATTGCTGGCTAAGTTCACGAGTAATGCCTGGAACTTTATATATCGCTTTAATTTAGAGGGAATGACCTGCGAATTTGATATAATGTCCATATTGATACATACCTCTCTCTTTCTCTTTCTCATACATACATTTATACATAATTTATATATATATATATATATATATATATATATATATATATATATATATATATATGGATATATAAATATAAATAAATATATATATATGTATAATTATTTATTATTATATGCGCGGTACTTATTAGAAAGCGCTCAATATCAGAGATAGAGTTAACATATTTGGTTGGATAGATGTGAGATTGTGACCCTGGGTTTCACACTTTTAGCGATCGTCAGACAATCTCGTTTGTCTGACGATTGCTAAGTTCAAAAACTCACATCTATCCAACCATATATATATATATATATATATATATATATATATATATATATATATATATATATATAAACTCAGACCTGGGAACGTAATAGAATAAATCCTCATTCGGAAAATAATTTAGTAAGAAAATAATTTGTAACAATATATATATGTATATGCTTGTCAAAAGTGTCACTACTGTTGAAAACTCACATGAAGAAAAAGGAAACTGACAAGAAGAAGAAGAAGATATAAAGATGTAAAAGTTTGTTCCAAAAATTAACTAAAATCTATATAAAATATATACACGCAGGCGTGTGTGTGTGTGGTGTGTGTGTGTGTTCTCTGTCACACACACACACACACACACACACACATATATATATATATATATATATATATATATATATATATATATAAATTGGTCTGTTTATGTTTATACGAAACTGAGCAGATATGGTGGATATCTCGTAAAAAAACTTTACCGGAAATGAAAATATATGTGGGGGGGGCAGAGACACACACACACACACATACATACATACATACATACAGAGAGAGAAAGAGAGAGAGAGAGAGAAAGAGAGAATCGTTTGACCTAAGAATCAAAACTGCATGGTAATTGTCACTTTCACACCCTAATGCAACCTGCAGTCTTCCGACCATGTACGACTACACACACACATACACACACGCACGCGGCATGGTCGTGTGCGCTTGTTTGCGTTCATGCGTGTATGTTTGTGCTCGCGCGCGTTTCTCAAGGGTAAAACGAACATCTATCGATGTAAACAGATTGAACAGCTATTCTTATCAGAAGTAGATCTATAGTCATCGTTACAGATGTACCACTTTGTTTTTTAAGAACATAATATTAGCACAAAACCCAGGAGCAATCCCCACCACCAGATAGACGGTCTCCTTCGAGTGGAGCCGACTGCTAAGTTCTCTCCAAAAGAACTACTGTCGAGGGATCTTGAACAATTTTTGATCGGCTTTACACATAATACTACGTCCTCTTGTCACAATCCGTAACGACGTGGGCGTGCGGAGAAATATCTACATCAGACGTACACATCTGATTCAGTCTCTAAAGCATTGTCTTGACGCAGTTCAAGTCCCATTAAAATATATAAATGCACTTCCATTAGAAAGTGAAAGAAGGGGAAAAGTGCGACTTTTTTGGAAATTGTGTGATTTTACTTAATGCAAGTTACGTTGTAGTTTTACCCTTGAAGTTACTTTAGAATAGTCACCTAATAATAAACTGATGGTCCATGTAAAATAAGAAAGCTATAAAAAAAATATAACAGTAACACTGAGGCCAACATTGAGAGTCAGTTTCATTCTTTCTCAAATTCTTCATATATATATATATATATATATATATATATATATATATATATATATATATATATATATTGAACAATAAAAAAAATAAAATTAAAAATTAAAATCTTTGGACACACTAGGTTGTAGATTAATATTCTTTGTTTTTTTTTATTCCATTTAGATTCCTCGACTAGATTCGACCGAAATAGCCATCATCGGGAGGAGAAATATTTCTGCTTGCTGGTAGCAGTGAACTACTGAAAAAAAAAATATATATATATATATATATATATATATATATATATATATATAATAGGTTCGTGTGCATTTAAAAAATCTATAATGCAAATAAAGTTAAATAAAAAATTGCGCTTTTATATATATATATATATATATATAATAGGAATATATATATTCTTTTTTGTTTCACCCATCCTTGTCTTTTGGACAGGTGTACAGGTTTATCTCATAATCCCTCCTTAGGATCGGGTTTTCCGTCCCTTATAAAGTCTACTTCAGCTATATACTGCTAACGCTTGACTTTTCTTGTGATACAACAACGCCACACAGTAATCCTCTAATTTTGAGTGTCTCTTGGGCGTTTTATTGGGCCAACATAATCTATCTATCTATCTATCTATCTATCTATCTATCTATCTATCTATCTATCTATCTATCCTTCGTTTGGATCTCATTAATTATATATATGTAAGTGAATTACAATTAATGAGATCCAAACGATTTACCTCATACGGATCATCATTTCGTCCATGGGAAAGTGTTTTTGCCTGAATTATGAATGCAAATACTTATTTGCATTAGTGAAAATGTGTGTGTCTGCGTGCGCGCATCTGTTTGTTTGTGTGTGTGTGTGTGCGTGTGTGTATAGTGTATATATATATATATATATATATATATATATATATATATATATATATATATATATATATATATATATATATAATAACAGAGCTAGGATTTATTTGTTTCCCTCTGTTCGACTTCACTTCACTACGTAATGAGAGCATTAAATTTTCCTGGCCTTCTTTTCTTATTCTGTGTCTCAGAAATGTCACTTAACTTTCTGAATTTATATATAATTGGCGTTTTTGTTTCCATTTTTCCAGAAATTGTTCGTTGCTTGCATGACTCGTCTTTGGTATCCTAACTACACTTGTAGAGAAGGACATTTCTGTTGTTACGCGCCTTCGTTTCATACTTAGAAGTTAAGACAAATTGTTAAAGGCGTATACGTTAATGACAAATTGATACGAAAGTTAGATCATAGATAGGAGGAAAGAGATGACTGAGAATATACACAATAAGTATGAGAATTGCAAACAGCCAGAGATTTATAGAGCGCGCACCAGAGAAAGAGGGAGAATGATACAAATAAAAAGGAATTTAGAGCGAAGGGGAGTTTTATGTGCTCATGTGTGT